TACCAAGCTCGGGATAGTTTAGGCGCGGACTTTAAGCTTAATAAGCAGATAAATTCTGTTCTTGAAAAAATCTTCTTTCAGCTAAGGAAGATAGCTAAACTCAAGTCTGTGCTGTCCAGATCCGACCTTGAAAAATTAGTCCATGCATTTATTACAACCCGGCTGGACTACCATAACTCGCTTTATGCTGGGGTCAGTCAGGTCTCTCTCTCACATCTCCAGCTTGTCCAAAATGCTGCAGCTCGGCTACTAACAGGAACTCGCAGGTTTGATCACATTACTCCGGTTCTGTCCTCCCTTCACTGGCTTCCCGTGCATGTCAGAGTTGATTTTAAGATTCTTCTGCTGACATTTAAATGTATTGATGGCCTTGCACCCTCATACCTCTCCGACCTCCTTCATCCTTATACTCCTTCTTGGGCCTTGAGATCATCAGACCAGCTGCTTTTGGTGGTACCAAAAACCAGGCTGAAGCTCAGAGGAGATTGGGCGTTTTCAGTCATGGGCCCTAAACTCTGGAATAATCTGCCCATCAACATTCAACAGGCCACCTCAGTCTCTGCTTTTAAATCTCTCCTTAAAACACATCTGTACTCATTGGCATTTAACACAGTGTGATCTCATTTGGTATTTCATTGTTGATGATTGTGTTCATCCATTTTGCTTTTACTCCCTGACATTTAACGCAGGGTGATTTGATTTAGTATTTCATTGTTTCTAATTATATTTCATGTTTTTATGCTTTTATTCATGTTGCTGTAATATCTTGTTATTAATTTTTGATGCTGTGATCTTTTTTGGTAAGCACTTTGATAACAGTTACTGTTTTAAATGTGCTATATAAATAAATGTGACTTGACTTGACTATTAGCGTCGCATAAACTGTATACCTGCTCATACACTTGCTGCTGTGACGTCAAGTAGGTATGGATGCTGACTAGAGACATAAAGACAGCATACCATGTACGCACTTCAGCAATACATTACACAGAGCAAATCCAAATGACGGGAACTGAAAAAGTCTCACAAGATGAAAGTTTTGTTTGGTACAGATCTGGCGTTTACTAGGCCAATCCTGGCAGAAACCACAGCCTGCTGTGTGAGGGACGGGGGGGCCCGGGGCAATGTCTTCAGGCTCTGCAGGTTCACTCCGCGCCGGTGGAGATGAGAGAAGCAGGAGGGGTGGGGGCGGATGTCCGCATTCAGGCCTGTGACAGGTAGCAGACAGCTGTCAACAGGATCTAGGAAACGCCAAGGCAAAGCGAAAGACGGAAATAATCCATTTCTTGTCTGAGAAATGGATGTAGAATGGGCCATGCAGATCTTTAGTTTCACCAGCTGTCCTCCACATTTACCGCGGTAACGATGACGTTTCCGCTCGGTGGGCAGTGCAGGTGCCCGGAGGAGATGAGCTGGGACTCCTGACAGGAGTGAAGGTAAAGATTTCTGTCCACCATATCAGCTCTGCGAGGTGCTGGCTGATATCTTTAACTCCTCCCTCACCCTGGCAACTGTTCCCACATGCCTGAAGAACGCCACCATCATCCCACTTGCAAAGAGCTCTACAGTGACTGGTCTGAATGACTATAGGCCAGTAGCCCTCACCCTGATAGTCGTTAAATGCTTTGAAAGGCTGGTCATGACCCACATCAAAGCTACCATTGACATCAGCGAGGACCCACACCAGTATGCACAGATGAAGGAGATGGTTGTGGATTTCAGACAGAGCAAACACACCTATCCCCCACCCTCCGAACATAGGAGGATCTGTGGTGGAAATGGTCTCCAGCTTCAAGTACTTGGGTGTGCACCTGAATGACAACCTGAACTGGGGCAACAACACTACCAGTCTGATCAAGACAGCTCATCAGAGACTCTACTTCCTCAGGCGGCTGACGTGAGCTGGACTGGGAAACTCAGTCATCACCTCCTTCTACAGGTGTGCAGTGAGGAACATCCTGTGCCTTAGCACCAACGTGTGGCATGGAGGCTGCACAGCTGCAGAAAGGAAAGCTCTGCAGTGAGTGGTGAAGGTTGCACAGAAGAATGTTGGAGTCAGTCTCCCCACCATCACAGACATCTACACCTCTAGATGCAGGAATAGGGCCACCTGTATCATGAATGACCCCACAGGGGCAGCTGTGGCTGAGTGGTTAGAGCAATTGTCCTCCTTTGCGAGAGTTGGGGGTTCGAATCCACCAGCATTCACATGCTGAAGTGTCCCTGGGCAAGACACTGAACCCCTCATAGCCTCTGATGTGTGTCCCATCAGTGTATGAATGTGATCTAAAGCACTGATTAGTCTCTTTAAAATAATTTGTTCAATTAGCTTTGTAGAGATCTAGTAGAGTGCTGTATGAATGGGTAAATGAGGACACAGATTGTTGTGTAAAGCGCTTTGAGTATCTTGAAATAAGATTGAAAGGCGCTATATAAGTACAGTCCATTTACTATATCACTCACCCAGCACACACAGTTTTTACCCCACTCCCCTCAGGAGGAGGTTGCGGAGCATTAAGTGTAGAACCACTAGACTGGGGAACAGCTTCTACCCTGAAGCTGTTAGACTCATCAATGCCTAATCAGGAAAATCACCATAAGGAGAAAAAAAATCATGCCACTTTAATTGGTGATATGTGACTTATATGTGCTGCTGATTATCTCATGCTGCTGTATTCATTCATACATATCTGCTCACCACAGACATGTTGATGCTGCTGTTGTTACACCCTATTGTTTTACAATATTATTGTTTAGCATATAGTAGATCTTTTATTGTACCGTTTGGCATTCGTTTAGCATACAGTATATCTTAGTGTATATCAGATCCTTATATACTGTTTCTTTGTATAATTCTTTTGATATTATTGTTATATTATTGATATTATTATCGAACCCCCAACTCTCCCATTGGAGGACAACTGCTCTAACCACTCAGCCACAGCCACCCCAACAAAATATCACAAAACACACAGACCATGATAAGGTACAGGTCCTTCTAAAAAAATTAGCATATTGTGATAAAGGTCATTATTTTCCATAATGTAATGATAAAAATGAAACTTTCATATATTTCAGATTCATTGCACACCAACTGAAATATTTCAGGTCTTTAATTGTTTTAATACTGATGATTATGGCATACAGCTCATGAAAACCCAAAATGCCTGTCCCAAAAAATTAGTATATTTCATCCCACCAATGAAAGACAAGTGTTTTTAATTTAAAAAACACCAACCTTCAAATAATCATGTTCAGTTATGCACTCAATA